CTAAATTCCACTGACGTAACAAGGATTGGACAAACTCATCCATTACAGTAAGTAAATGGCCGACTCTCCACTTGTCCGATTAGTTAATTTATGATAATACCATACTATGTATACATATAATTAAACACTTTTAATTAAATCGCACACGCACGTCACGCTGCCTGCAGGAGACCAAATAGACAATCTTGACTTGGCTTAGGGAGCAAGATTTGCTTGGTTAGTGACAGGTCACATTTGCCTGGCTCACCCAAGCAGTTTCTGCTTATCTCCCAAGCAAGTCTAGCCTATATATCGTTACTTGGGTTGCACAGGCTGAAATATCCGGACAGTCAAGCTACTCTGGCCGCTTTTTATTTTCAGTGCACACTTAATTAACCGCTATTTCTTTTGCCCCAGGTCATAATCCACCTATCCTCAAGACATCACGTCCCTACATTGGTGACCCCGACGTGATCAACCGACACTTCCTGGAAGCCTTGAATCTAAGCAGCACCATGGAAACACCAGTAATAATTGGACCTGGCTGCCAGGCTCTTTGTCGAGAAGAGGAACAAGGCGAGGCCGAACACGTGGCTACGAATCGTTTTCTACGGGCCCAGCAGTACAGTTACAGCAGTCGATGAACCAAGGTGACCGTCTTTGTTTCTAAGCAGCTACAAGCCGGTCCACAGCCCTTGCCGTGGCAACTAGCTACCATCGACACCGCGTGAGTACCTAGCCTTAAAATTTAGGAGCGTTTTGTTTACAAAGGCGAGCAAAAATTCAACCGAGTACCGCCTCAACATAGTTGTTCTTGTGCTACGATCTCGGCATTTCAGTCGCACAAGCATATTCTAGCAGCCATTGTGCTCTGTCGACGATGGTTTTTCCGTTTTTCTAACGTGTTGTAATGCCCAGCGTCGGCCATTTTGCTTGCGACAACGTGGATGAATATTGCAGTACTCACGCACGTTTTTCTCGAAGTTTGAAAATTGTTTAAAATTGTTACTGCAATATACGAATAATACCACCTAATTTATTATATATTTAATAAAACAAATTGTAAAAAAAAAAAAAAAGTTCTTTGTTATCTTTACGCTCACTTGCTCTGTTAGTTTTAGTTATACTGTTAACAATTCTTTCGTAACGATGAGTAACACAGAAAAATTGACCCAACTAGAAGAACAAATCAAACAAACTGCGGAACAGTTGCAAACGGGCAATACAAATGGTGACGGTAGAGGCGCACAAAATGTCGCCGCTGTGTATAAACAACCTAAAATACCGGGGTTTTCGCGCGAAAGCCCTCAAACATGGTTTTTCCAGGCGGAAGTCACACTTAGAAACGCGGGCATAGTCAATCAAGCTACTAAGGCCGATTTTATCGCCGAAAAGCTCGATATGGAAGCGTTACAGGCCATGCACAACGATTTTGCCCCCAATCCAAAATACTTTTTGGAAGAGTTCCGCGAACAAATGCGCGAGGTGAGACCAATCCCGGTAGCATAGAAGTACAAAAATCGGTCATTTTATCATAAGGATTTGCACGTTTGTGACTATGTGTTTATGCAATCAAAAAAGGGTTAGAAAGGCCCTGCTCGGGTCCGCATAAGGTGTTAGAGCGTATTTCTGACACGAATTTTAAGATTGAAATACACGGCGCGCCGAAGGTCGTAAGCACAGAGTTGCTCAAACCAGCTCATCTTACACCCGGAAATTTGCAGTGGCCGCCTCTGCCAGACGAAATTAACGTGCCAAACTTGCCACCCGTGGTGCGCCCTATACTCGATCAAGACGTATACGGCAACGAAACCTGCAGCAGGCGCCAAAAAAGCAATTTTTAAAGAACAAAAATGATTCTAGTGCATACACCTTACGTTTTTTTTTACTGCGTGCGTTTTATACAAAGACAAATTCATTGTAACCTTCGATGTAAAAGCCTTCTATCAAAGATCAAAATTGCTTGAATTTTATCATAAACTGTGCCAGTGAATTTCAAAGCTGACTATTAATTCTTGGAGACTTGACAGAAAGCTACCGTTGTTCATGTTGTACACAGGCAAGTGAGTCAACAATCTCGAAATCTTGTGTACATTTGTAAACAATTGTTATCCAAATGTAATCAGACGTTAAACGTCGACAGTACAAAATTCAGTCAAGACTTTTAAGAACACTTATCGGTTCATCAAAACATATTGTACGCGCACTCTCTCTCTCTCTCTCTAGCAATTATTTTAATTTAAAGATGAGCGTTTAAAACGTTGTAGAAATTGATATGATGTATGAATCTGTAAATATTTAAATGGAAATATGTAATTACAAAGACCGCGGATGATTAATCGTTGTAAGTTTTAACTGCGTCAAAACTTGGGGGGAGTAATGTTGGGATTTCCCCCCTCTATGTGTATAGATAGCCGTGGGTGGAGAGAGAGTAGACGCCGAGCTCAAGCTCTATACAGTCAGTACTATTGTAGTCTCTGACCAAGCCGGTCGGACTATGAGCAATAAAAGGTCCACACTTAATTAACCGCTATTTCTTTTGCCCCAGGTTATAATCCGCCTATCCTCAGAGATCAGCATCAGCGTCATCTAACGGGGCTCGTACTTCCGGATTCATCCAAGCCCGAAGACCTGTGGGCTGTGGGGCAAGGAAAAACTCTGGAATTACTCTATAGGAAAATTCCACAAAAAACCTACCCAGAGACAGCCGGGGATACATAGGAACTTTTCCCGATGAAAATAGTTTTTGAAAAAATCTGCATTCACCGAGAATCGAATCCACGATGCCTAGAACAGCGTTGTATCAGTAACAAGCACCCTTACCACTGAGCCAACGCCGCTTCGAACCGTTTGATTATTATTAACTTGACTTTTTGTATTATTATTTTTTTTTAATCATAGACATTTAAGGAATAGACGGCTTATTAGCAGCTGGGGCAGTGAGATTCCTGTAGAAAGAGAGAGAAGACGAAGGCAATGAGTTTTTCTCTGTCGCACACTTACGGAGTAGAGACGTAGGGGCACAGGCTGGGGGGTATTGCGTAACTTCTACACCACGCCACACAACAGACTGACGGTACGTTGCTATTTACTTATGCATTGTAACGTGACGTCAAGTTGTGGCGTGGCGTGGTGTAGAAGTTATGCAATACCCCCCCAGAAGTATAAATCGGTGCCTCTGTTCCGTCCTCGTGCCTGTGCCCCTACGACCTCACTACGTAAGTGTGCGAGAGAGAAAGACTCACTGCCCTCATCTCCTCTCTCTTTCTACGCGAGCCTCACTGCCCTGGCTGCTATTAAGCGGTCTATTGTTTATATTTCTATATGCTCGGAATCTCACATTTGTAAGCTTTATATGTGTAACATCATCGATATGTATAAGGTATAAGTAGTATGGGTAATATGCATAGATAGACAGTTTTTAAAGAAAGCCCTGAATAAGGTGGCTCATCAGCCACACTGTGCCTTCATCCTCTGTAGAACACCGAGCAGACATAGTAGTATAACTATATATAGTACGACAATGTGAGCAGGAGGTGTGCAAAAGTTCAGGCCTAATGTCTATCGACAATGCAGACATATAAAAAAATAGACTGCTTTGCTTGTTCTTATGTACGGCGCTGAAGCACAATTAGAAGGAGACAAAACATCGAACGTGGATATCTGTCTCGCTCTCGATACCCACGTTCGATGTTGACTCTTCCTCTACTTGTACTTCAGCGCCGTACATAAGAACGAGCAGTCTACATATCTTACATGTCTATGGGTTTGGTCCAGTTCAATTACCAAAGTATACCCATATATAGTGTATATATAGGTCTTGCTTTTATATCTTTTATGAGGTCAGAACCTTATAAAAAAAAAATTTATATACATGTATATAGGTGTATTTTGCCAAGAAAATCGGACCACGGTGCAAGATAAGACAGATGGTACGAAGTACCACCTCTATGCTTTGTGCGGTCTATCGCAATTTTGTAGTAGTACCAAGCTCTCCACCAGGTGGATTAGTGTTAAAAAGGTAGTATACATACTGTTATGAGCCTCTGGCACGAAGCAAGAAGGTGTAGATGGTGCGCTCCAACCTTTGGCTGGCCTTGGGCGATCGGTCCGTTACCTGGTTAGGTGCTGCTGCATGAGGTCTCCCTCACTATTTTTTTGCGGTAGATTTAGTTCTGGGCAGCTTTTTCTCGGAGATGATGTCTAGGTATTTTCTCCTTGAGGATGATGTCCAGGTACCTGGTGAAACTCTTCACAGGACCACGATCATTCACTTGGTTGACACTAATTATTCACAATAACACTGAGGTACTCGCCTTAGGGTTATATAGGGGGGCATCTTGAACACTTTTATTCACGTGGAGCACCTCGCCGTAGGCAACTGTCGGAAGTAGATTAGCCTGAAGGGAACCTTTCGAGCTCCTTTTATAGGCCGAAAGACTTGCAGAGAGTTACCTTGGCATCTCCTTCCGAGAATCCAGTACGGGTTAGGACTGGTTCTGACTCGTCAAAAGCCAATCCGTTAGTATTCTGGAGGCGAGCTCGAACAGGATGGAACAGGTCGATTAATTGAGTCTTGAGGTTTGCGGCAGGTCTGGTCCAGTTAGTTTCTGAAACATGTGAAATTTGTTTCCCACTTCAAACACGTCTAGAAGTGTCAGAAATCTTTATTACCGATTTTGTTTTAGTACTTCCATATTTACTCGCGAGATGGCGCTATCGCTGTTTTAAAAAAAGTGGAAATACTGGAAATCAGGAAATGGAATCGATTCCATAAGGCCTACGCAGTCAAATTGACATAAGGTGCACAGTGCACAGTGCACAAGAATAACATTAGTTGGTATACCTATATACACAATGCACAGCGCGTACGCGCAATGCACAACGTTGTGCTTTTACGTTTTTACGTATATAGATATACCAACCAATGTTATTCTTGTGCACTGTGCACTGTGCACCTTATGTCAATTTGACTGCGTAGGCCCTTACAATACATACATATTGAAACGGTTACGTACATACACACATTTAAATAAATGGATACATTCTACATATATATAAATATATATACTACCTTTTCGACACTGAATCACTGATCCATCTGGTGAAAAATTTGGTACTGCTACAAAATTGTAACTCGGCAGTGGTGGTACTTCGTACCTTCTGTCTTATCTTACACCGTGAACCGGACCGAACCAAAAGGGGCTTGAACAAATCTACCGTATCCTGAGGTAAGTAAGTATTCGTACTTAATTAGAATACTCATTGTTGAAAACCAAGATTCTACAACAAATTGTACCATTGGCCTTTAATTTTAGTATCACTTGCTACAAAAACTGAAAACATGATTATAGGAATATAATTATGTATGTGTAACAAATTAATGTGCAGGTTAAGCGTATTAAGGTTGAATTTGAAGAAAAAAAACTTGACGTGCTTGGTGCCAGCTACTTGGCTGTTGCAGATTTCCTTAATATGCTTATTCTACCCTCAGTTGTATTTGTTGTATGACTTACATTGAAATAATTAACAACAACATCTTAAATGGTTTATCTATAATACGTTTACTTCAGGAAAGTTTAAAATTTTTTTTCATTGCTTACAAAATTTTTTGTATTGCTATAAATACATATAATTTTTACACTTGCAGAATTTGTGTCTTTAGAATATCTACAATGTCAGATCAATATTTGGGTTGTACTGTCTCTGTTAAGTGCATCGAAAATTTAGGCAGCTATCAAGGCCAAATTATTGCCTTGAATGACCAGAGTGTAACATTAGCTAAAGCCTTTTGCAATGGTGTGCCTAACACTTCTTCCCAAGTAACTCTAAGGTAAATGTCCACATTATACATTCAGATATATGACAACATTTTACTGTGATTACCTTGCACTGGGTTTTTTATTTTTTCTTCTGTCTTTGCTTAGTAGATCTAATTTTAAGTTAGGAGCGCAAGTATTGTATAGAATTATGAAATGAATTATTTTGAATCTTTTTCAGAGCAAAAGATATCTTTAAAATTGATATAGTATCCTTAGTGGATGTGTCTCAAAAAGATGACCTACCACAAAGCAGAGTCACTGTTAAGAGACCAATTGCTAAAAGGGCTGGGAGGTCAGTCTCAGAATGCTCTTTCCCAATTAGTCAACTGCAAAATTTTCAAACTTTATCAAGTTTCAAGAAATTACCACTAGAAACACTGCCTTATTTAGATACGTCATGTACAAATGGGAAAGTTAGTACAGGTATGCCTACCTTTTTCTACACCCATTCTTTTTGTACTATCATTGGAAAAGTTATTGATGATGTTCCAAATTCGACAGGTCTATCTAAGACTTCTCGAAAAAAAATGAGTGATCGGGATGAGCAAGCCTTTGGTACACCAATAGATCAGAGTCTCAATCAAGATTTTGATTTTGAAAAAAATCTCGCTTTATTTAACAAAGAGGTTTGTAATATTACGCCTGTAAAACAAGTAATAAAATTAGTAATAGTGTTTCTTTTGGTGTTAGTTATTTTTTCTTCATTATTATTAGGTAACAAAAAAATTGGTATTCATGCGATTAAACTTGAAAATAAAGTTGTAGCATCTTAACTAAACATGAAATTATGACACTCGCACTTGTATTAGTTGAAAATATTTTTCAAATTTTTTTAGGCTGTTTGGCAAGAGATTAATTCTAAAAAACCAGATCTAGTGCAGCAGTCTCAAAATAGAAGTGGTAACAAAGCTAGATACAGGCATGACGAAAACGTCATAGAATCAGAACCTGCTACATTTAGACAAATTATGGTTCCAGATCCCAGAGCAAAAGAGTATGTGACAGATGACGGTTTAATCATTCCCAGTATTACTTTGGATCTTCAAAGACAACTGATTGGAGCCGCTGATCGACTTGGTATTAGCTGGGAACGACGAGTGAGTATAAAGTATTTTGTTTCAATCCTAAAAATACGAGAATGCTCTAGCGTACTTCAGTTCTACCCATATAAAATTAATTTTCTAATCTCTTTCCGTCGTGTGCATTTGTATGGAATTTATTATACGGAATCACAACATTTATACATCCTGTTTCACTGCATTTTTATGTAGTACTTATGGTGCAGTTATTGTTACACATATGTATGTTCATTTATAAAGAAGGTTGAATTACTGCTACCACAAGAAAAAATTTTTGAATTCGTTTTATTAGATATTCTTCTTTGGACAATGCTTTAAAATGAGGACGAGTTAAACCAAATTTTTTCCACAAATAGCGAAAATAGTACATTACGATCAAAGGATGATTTGAGGCTTCTTTACTTTCGTCACTGTGTTGTATAATTTTCCGTCTTCCTGTTGCTGGAAGGAGATTAAGACTGTGTGTATATATACTAAGCAAAGTTGCTAAAACCGTTGTAATCGCTAACCGCGAAAACTACTGAACTGATTTTGCTAAAATTTTGCGTACTGACTATTGATGATTCCAAAAAGGTTTTCGCATAGTTTTTTCTTAAAAAAGTTGATAACAATAGCAATAATTAAGCTCAAAGTTTTGCTAAAATAAGGTAGCTTTGCGCTTTAGTTCAGTAGGATCCGGTAGGTGGCGTCAAGGTAAAATTATGGCCACCCGCAATTGAAGATACCTAAAAGTGAGTATAACATGCCCCATTGAGTTGTCGATTATCGTAGTCGTTCATCGGCAGTACACCAAAAACAGAGTTGTTAGTCGTGTAGTTGGACATCGCGGATACCGATGACACTCTTCTTTCATGGGCAAGCGAAATAAATCGGTTTTTACCACGGATCGCCAAGAGAATCGAGTGCCAAGGAAACAAAGGCATTCGGAACGTCAACATTTCTGAGGGAATACCAGGAGATGTGTCTAGCCACAGCACAACCTGCTCCAACACTTCAGAGTTTTGTGGTCGTTCAACCATCCAGCCTGGTACCGTCAAATAATTTTCTTCTTCTAATGCAAGCCAGGGACGACTGCCCTGAAGAGTACGGCAGCCACAACGGCCTCCTTCTTAGTGGTCGTCCCAACGGCATACCTACAGAGAAGGTATTCTCCAGGCCCACTTTCCCGACTAACGATGAGTGGTTGATTATCCAGTGAAGGACCTGAAGACGAAATATTCTTTGGTCAGCAGCGTACCTCCAGTGCGGTCTCCGTACACAGAGACTCCCCGCAGTGGGCTCTCCATCATCAAGAATACTAATAAGAAATAACTGGAAATTTCATCTCTGGTCCTTTTCAGGATCATTATAAGTATTTACGTTCCCTACATAACCATCAATCTCATCGGTTCTTTTAAGGAGCACCTAAGTTTAAACTACCTTGTCAACAAATACATTTATACTACCACTTCCGGAAACGATTCGTCGACTAAAATACTATATACAGCCGGCCACTATTACACCGGCCAAGTCAGTCATTCACTGGCAGTCGTCACGAGTGGAGTTGTTTATCGCAAGGCTGGGAACCCTGGTGACTGACGATCCTATATTACCCTCTCGACTCTAAGCATTCTAACCAGGAATCATCGATCCTCTCCAAGTTCTGCACTGAGAGAACCAAACAGCTACGAAGGAAAAATAAACTTGAGCAAACGGGACAGTCTCCAACGGGCAAGCATCACGAACCAATCTCTCCACCTTGGATCACGAAAACAACTAAGTCTGCAAAAAAAGGAGTTGCTTTAGACACCAACGTCTTCGACGTTATACTAGGACACGTTCGGAAAGAGTTCTACAACTAGCTCCAAAGCTTCAAACGTTGTAGTTTTTCTCCCGATCAGTGTGGTGCTACAATAACAGGCCAGAGAAGATCACCCTGAGGTATCCGCTATGTTCGCACCAATCTCAGCGCCGCAGGTGGCCAAAAGACGAAGCGCTATAGGCAGGATAAACACAACTGATAGCTGGGTAGAATGCATTGCAATAGTAGTTTTTTTATTATTTGTATCACAAGTAATTAACATTGCGCATTACTGGATCAAGAAAATTATTATGTAGGATTCGATGAAATAGTGAAATATATTGGCGATGGTGGTAAGCCGTATGAAGAAGGTCAGCAAGTGTATAAAGCAGGGCATATAATTAACTGCGGTATCAGTAAAAAAGCTCCTCATAGTCTGTTTAAGTCTTTGCGTTATGCTTTCAAACATCTGCATTTCACGATACTTACTCCACACGAATAACAAATTAAAGTAAAGAAATTCGAGGTCATTTTGTGTAAGTGTTCATGCACTTTAGGGAAATGCAAACACTGTGTGGCTGTGTTGATTTATCTTGACAAGTAAATGTAAATAAATATATTTATTTATATTATATTTTTTTGATACAATTTTAGGATGATGAATTTTTTTCTTGTACCTAGAGCTCCATTTAATATGTTGGAAAAATTATCGTGTACTGACATCAAGCAACAGTGAGGACAGCTCAAAAACATCACAAAACAAATGTACAAAGCTGTGCCTTTAGGGCAGTTTTAGGAGCTTTTCAACTGATAACGCAGAAAATTATATGCCCTACTTTATACACTCGCTGACCTTCTTCATATGGCCTAACACCATCGCCAATATATTTTACTATTTTATCAAATACTACATAACAATTTTCTGGATTCATTATTGCGCGATGTTAATTACTTTTAATACAAATAATAAAAAAACTATTATTGCAATGCATTCTACCCAGCAATCAGTTGTGTTTATCCTGCCTATAGCATTTCGTCTCTTGGCCACCTGCGTCGCTGAGGTTGGTGCGAACATAGTGGATAGAGACTATCACGTTTGCTGGAAACTTCAGTCAAGAAAGATTTTACTTGAGAAGCTCACCGGTCCTTTTTTGGGTCATCGGACGTCGTACTACCTTGCCAACAAGTATATAACAACCTAATAAAGTTAAAAAAAATAGCCTTTAGGGCTCACAAAAGTCTTAACTATGCCAAAAGTCGCAAGAAGTCGAATTGGAATGATAACTTCAAATGCATCTAATGAATACAATTTTAGGCATCAAGAAAATGACGCTGAACATTTATCGAGATTAAAGCGGCATCAAAATCGATAAATAAGGAATTTATTAAGTGAGAGATAAGCTTTTCACTATAACCCTCACAGTTATCTCTGGAATCTTCCAGATTTTCAAATAGGTAGAATCTGTTTTTGTATTTTTGTGGCGATAAAAAATGTAGAGATTAAGCTTCAGGACTTTGTTGCTGTGGTAACAAAGTTGTGAGATAAGAGAAATAAATTTTTTTCAATTATATATTTTTTGTGAGTTTATAATCTTTACAGCTTTAAAAAAATAGCCCTCTTTATCGATTATATGAAAGAAACTGCAAATCAACGGCCTTTTAGGGCCAACGATTATTTTATGGCATAAGGAATGCACAGTACTTTTCAGCATTACTATATTTTTTTCACTTTTTACAGCTTTTTACTTGAACAAATAAACTGTATGGATTCCGAACAAATATGTTTTTAATATGATTTTTGTTCTGAGAAATGTCAGAAATAAATGTAACATTTTTAACTGAAAACGTTTCTCATTACATGTCAACATACTACGGTGTTCTATTTAGTGAGTCTCGGGCGAAGCCAAGACGGAAGGGCCGTTAGTACACACACACACACACACACACACACACACACACACACATACACACACACATACACACACACACACATGGGTGATTCTGCCGTAAATGGCTCGAAACGCCTCAAACACTCGTTAAAAAAATAAAAATTATGGGTTGAAAAAATTATTTTCATAGAAGTTCTACCTCAAATACCATCTTCATCAAATATCTAAAGCGACTTAACTACGAAGTTTTTGGGTCAAAAAATATACGATATTTTATAAATGTCAATTTTAGTCAATTTTTAAGGAAAATACGTCTATTTATGATACGTGTAGCTAGGCTACAAAATGAAATTTTGTAGATTATTGTTGAAACTTTATAATTTAAAAGAAATCTTCATAACCTTTGATTGGTGCCACCACATTCAACAAATTTTTTTTTAGTCATTAAAGCTTCGTTTCAACAGTCGTTCGAGCCTATTTTAGACCACCTAAAAAGTGTACTCCTTCGATACTAGTGATAGAAGTGGAATCGATATTTATCGATACATCTATCAAAAAAAGGCCAACTAAATCTAAACGCTGAGACACGTATCTCACGTTTTAATCCATCAATGCTTGAAAAAAAAAAGATTTGTGAAGTTGTAATGCACAAAAGCTAGAAGAAAATGACACTGAAGTTGGGAGCGTTCCGGGAACGAAATTAAAAAAAAAATCTCCTTAAAACAAAGCAAATTTGTTAGAACGTAACTAAGCTGCCAATAACTCATATTCGTCGAAAAAGGTTAATTTTCCACGATTATACCCCAAACCACAATACTCGTCTGTACCTATGCTAGCTTTCGTACTCGTTCCGACTTCTAGCTTTCATAACTGAAAAACCAGATTGAAAGCCCCACTGAAAATGATACGCATTTTTTATTGTTACATAAAAAATGTATCAAAATAAGAATATCCAATTAATAACGAAGGAGCGGGTCATTTTTTATATCTGAAAATCCAAATCGAAGACCCCTCTGAAAATAATATGTATTGTTTATTATTATATAAAAAACACATAAAAACCAAAATATCCTAGAAAAAATAAAGGGGCGGGTCATTCGCCGTCAAATGATCCACTCCTTGTTTTTAAGGAGGTATAGAAAAAAAGCTCAAAATGTAGAATCACTCTAAAAAAAAATTTATGTTACATCGAAGTATATCAGCAGTCTACAGATTTTTCCAGATTTTTAACCAGGGAAATTTTCGAAAAGAAAATTATTAAAGTTCGACTGTTTAACACGGTCTCTCATCAAAGAACAAGGTTAAGTTGCCTTTTCATTGAAATTAGTGTATACTATAAATGTGTTGGA